CACTGGTACAGATAGGAACTGGAAACACAGGGAATCCAGGCGGATTATCCCATCAGGACCAATGGTCTGAGTGGCCATACTGGGAGGGTGGAAGTAGGGTGGATTGGAAAGGGAGAACTGATTACAAGGAACTATATGTGACCTCCTCCCTGGGGGACGGACAACAGAAAAAGGGTGAAGGGAGACGTCAGACATGGCAAGATATGACAATACTTTATATATTGTTAAGGATTCATGAGGGAGGGTGGCAGGGAGGGAGGAGGAAAAATGAGGAGCTGATGCCAGGGTCTTGGGTGGAGAGCAAATGATTTGAGAATGATGAATGTAAAAATGTGCTTTACACAATTGATGTATGTATGGATTGTGGTAAGAGTTGTATGAGCCCCTAATAAAATGATTTTCAAAAAAAGTGCAAACAACAACAACAAAAATATTTTGAGGACGAGGGCAAAGAATGTACAAATGTGCTTGACACAATTGATATATGTGTGAATTGTGATACGAGTTGTGTGAGCCCCCAATAAAATGATTTTTTTTTTAAACAGAAAAAAAATTTTCTATTTTAAAATGAGCTCCTAAGTCAAATTGTTGCAAGGGGTGAAGGGAGGAAGGGGTAGAGAAATAAAAGAAATATAAATTAATTCTAGTGAATTTAGATCTAGAGCAGTGGTTCTCAACCACCCTTTTACAGGGGTCGCTCGATTCATAACAGTAGCAAAATTACAGTTATGAAGTAACAATGAAAAACAAATAAATAAATAATAAGAAAAAAGAAAATAATTTTATGGTTGGGGGGGGTCACCACAACATGAGGAACTGTATGAATGGGTCGTGGCATTAGGAAGGTTGAGAACCACTGATATAGGGGAAAAAATTATCTATAATCAAATCTTACCACCAATGATGAAAGATTACCTTCTGGATAAATTCCTAAGCTTGAGTTAGTAGGGTAAAAAAGGTCTTTTATTTCATAAATGAATTAATACACATCTTCATTAAGACCTCACTGCTCACTCAAGAGAACAGTCAAAGGTGAAAAATTGATCAGGGAGAACAGGTCAGAAGCTGTCATCCACCTGGACATCGAAGAAGGAAGATGGTGACTACTAACCTTCAGAATCAAGGCCTGGCTCTGCCTCTCGTCTTGTATTACCGTCTGAAGGAAAACAAACAGTCAAGAAGCCATCTTTTAGGCAACATTCAATTATCGACATGAAAGGTACATATCTTTATTTCCACCCCTCAATATTTTAATTGTGATTCATATCTGGAAACATTTTTCCCTAAGGATATGCAAATCTAAGCCCAAATCCCTTTCTCAGCTCTGGTCTTAATTCCCTCATGTGTAAAATGAGGGACTAGACAAGTCCTTTTCAACACTGACATCATAAGATCTATGATTAACATGCCAATCTTTGATCTAGTCTCCACACCCCAATCCAAAGGACAAACATTAGATTGAAGCAGATTGGCTTTGTAAGTTTTTACAAAGTTTTTTCTAAGAATGATCGTATCTGATCACTTACCTCTATTGCAAAAAACTGGTAGCAAAAACCTGTAGCAAAGATCTAAAAGCAATAAAGGCAGGGGACAGGAGCTGGATATAATCACAAACCTTCAATGAGCCCCGAGTACCCCTGTAATCCTCTTGAAGGTAACACTGAAGTAACTGTACACTCTGTTCTTCATCAAGACCCTGAAACGTACAGGTTAATAGTGAAGAAGAGCCACATCAACTGAGAAACCATAAATTGAATGCAAAGCATTCTGATGATCTGTCCTCTGGAATGAACACAAGGATTAAATAAATAGAATTCCTTTGGAAAGATTTCATATAACATAATTTTAAACCTAAAGAATAGAAAAATAGACATGCAATTTACAGGATGATGCCAGAAACAAGCATCCTCATTCATAATTATCAATACAACAACAGGTATGAACTGGCATCCAAATTTAAGCAAGAATACTTAAATATGAGGGGCTACCCCACCCCCCAAAAAACTGGAATTTTCCCAAAGCTCTGTATTTAAAATTTTTTCAAAACAACCTTATCACCTTCAAAGTACTCTCCATTACACTTAATACAGTTATCAAAACTGTGATTCCATTCTGGGAAACATTTTTCAAACTCAACTGGATGGAGAGAAACCCCTCATTTTCATCTTCACCTCTTGCACATTGTTACATTGCTGTCCTTTCATGTCCCTCTTTATTTGTGGAAACAAAAAGAAGATGCACAGAGTGGTGTCAGGTGAGTAAGGTGTGTGGGCTAAGGCATGCTCTTTTTTGCCAAAACCTGGCACACTGAGATGGCTGTATGAGCAGGTGCACTGTCCTAGTGGCAAAACCAGTCCCCCGACTGCCACAAATCAGGCCTTTTTTGTCACACACAGTTACACAATCTTACCAGACCCTCTAAATCAGCGGTTCTCAACCAGTGGGTCGCGACCCCTTTGGCGGTTGAAATACCGACTCTTTCACAGGGGTCGCCTAAGACCATTGGAAAACACAAATATTTCACAATATATAATTACATATTGCTTTGTGATTAATCACTTTGCTTTAATGATGTCTAATGGTGTTCAATTTGTAACAATGAAAATACATCCTGCATATTGGGTATTTACATGACGATTCATAAGAGTAGCAAAATTACAGGTATGAAGTAGCAACAAAAATAATTCTATGGTTGAGGGTCACCACAACATGAGGAACTGTATTAAAGGGTTGCGGCATTAGGAAGGTTGAGAACTACTGCTCTAGATAGAAAGCTTGATTAACAGTCTGACCTGGTGGAAGGAACTCCAAATGCACTAGGAGTTGACATTTTCTTCCTTTAGGGAAGTTGACGGACGTCCAGAACATGGTTTGTCATCAATCGACATTTCACCTTTTTGAAATGAGAAAACCACTCATACACTTGAGTTTTTCTCATACCGCTATCCTTGTAAGCTGTGTTCAACATCACAAGTTTCTGCGCCATTGTTCCCAAGCAGGAAACAAAATTTCATAGCCACAGGCTGTTCTCTTAAATCGGCCATCACAAAAAATGAGGTTCCAGCGAAACTGCTTTTATGAAAATAATTCACTGTGACCAGAGAGAACCTTCCCAGGCAACACCACTGGGTGCACTAATTCAGAGCGAGTTGCTCAATGTTTGCCTAGCAGGAAGAATGCATTCTAAGAAAGTGCCATTCGGTGACACTTTTTCAGTGGTTTTTTTTTTTTTTTTTTTTTGGGGGGGGGGGCGCGGGGCGGGGTAGCCCATACTATTTAAATACAAACTAGTCAATTTAAATACAAACTAGGCCACACTGGACATTTTTTCAAACACAGGCTCAAATTAAGCTCCTAAATTAAAATAAACTGCATTTCACTAACCACAACTAACAATGCAACCATGCTTATTCACACTGTAGCAAATATATGGAGCCAGTGCTAATTTTTACTCACCAAAAACTTGCTGATTCTTAAACCCAGCTCCTTCAATGCTGAAGCTACGTCTTTATTTGCTTTCACTTTTTCAGCTGAACTCTGACTATAAAAAGAACAATGAGTCATTTCCTCATTCTTAATAACTCTCTAGCAGTTTAAAAAAAGTACTAAAAGATATTGTTACAGACCTTTTTCTGCCTATAGGTGCCTACAAAATATACACATACGCACATACACACAAACAAGTTCACCTTTATATAGCTCCTAACAAAAAAATTTATTATTCTTAAGTAATAAATACACTACATGTGTTACAAACTACTGTTGTTATAATAATGTCAACTACTTAAAAGATATATAAGATTACACTATTTCTGATCATTATATCTATCCAGAATTTACAGATGAATACTATTATCTATGCCCATTTAAAAACTGAACTACCAACACTTAGATTAAAAGCAACTTACCAAAAATCGCACAGCTATCATAAAGTTTGGTTGATATTTAAAACCAGGTCTACTAGTATACATACATGTATTATTAGCTCTGTCTACTCAGAGAGCCTAGAAGCTAAAACACCCCAGTAGCAGTGAGCACTCTCAATGTCTAGAGATAATGGTTTCTATCATTCTCCAGTAAAAGACATCAAAACTCCTTGGAAAATGACTGACTCTAGGTCTGCCTGGGGCAGGGGAAAAAACAAGATGAGTCTGGTGTATTTTGTCAGAAAATAAGGGTTCAAATAACAAAAGAATAGGAATACCATATATACTTGTATATAAGCCGAGTTTTTCAGCACATTTTTAATGCAGCTTTTGTGGTAAAATTAGGTGCTTCGGTTGATATTTGGGTCAGTTTATCCTCATACAGTATGTCAAAAAAGACACAGAAGCCAATCTAAAAGAGCTCCCAATGGTCATAGTTGGAACAAAGTATAACTTAAACATGCATGAGTCCATCTGATATTAATAATGAATAAATTAAATAAGGGAGGAGAAAAATATCGAACTCCAAATAATACAAAATATGTCTGGGATTTACTTCAAAGTGATTACAAGGGCAGGATAAGTAAGGGAAAAAAGTTCTTCACTAATCTAGAGAAAGAAAATTTAGAAAGTAAAGATGTAATAAATTCAACAGATGTTCAGAAGTAGAAGGAAAATAAGGTTGGCATGGGAATTCTAATACACAGTAAAATTATATCTGGATGAGGAATTAAGATAAATTTCTAGTTCTAGAAAAAAAATTTCCTAGTTCTGAAACTATGTTCTACTTTTTTTTTTGACTCTGTGCTTTATTTTTGCTTGTTTTCAATTGCTCAATATCTACCAAAAAAAGGAAAAGCAGTAAAAAAAAACAAAAACACAATAAAACCCATCTCAAAGGCCTGTGCTGAGAATTAAATTACTGCTACGTTAATAATTGGTACATAGTAAACACTAAGTAAATGTCAGCTGCTATGATCACTATTCAAGGAGTCCTGGTGATGTTGTAGCTAAGCACTGGGTTGCTAACCACAAATTCGGCAGTTCAAAGTCACCATCCATTCTGTGGGAGAAAGATGATGTTTGTCTGTTCCCATAAAGATTTACTATCTCAGAAACCCTAAGGAACAGTTCTACTCTCTGTCTTATAGGATTACCAGGAGTCAGAATCCGCTGGATGGCAGCAGACTTAACGGTTTTATTATCATACACTGCTACATCCCACCATTCAGTGTTGACACTGTCTCACACCAACATGGTGGGCCCAAGGAAATATTAGGAAACTATTGGTTGAATATTTAGTAAATCCTTACTCCCAGACACTAGGGTCACATAACTCTACAACACTATGTTTTCTAGAATAAATTTTCCTTTCTTTCAATGGACAGAAAAATGTGCCCTACTTTTTTCCACTAATAACCAAATAGTATTTATTCTCTCTTATCTACATAACCCAACAATATCATATATAAGGAGCCACCTTATATGATATATATATGAGAGAGCTTCACCTCCACCAGCTTTCTCAGAGGGATTTTTCTAGCAGGTACATGGAACAGTCATACCTGGGGGGTTTGTAGTAAGAAAGCCCCTCCAGCAGTCGCTGCCAATGTTTATTCAGTTCTGCCTCAATCTGATTCTGGAAAGGAAGAAGGCAATCTTTTTTTTAAATCATTTTATTAGGGGCTCATACAACTCTTATCACAATCCATACACCCATCGATTGTGTAAAGCACATTTGAACATTCATTGCCCTCAACATTCTCAAAACATTTCCTCTCCACTTAAACCCCGACATTAGGTACTCATTTTTTCCTTCCCTCCCTGCTCCCCGCTACCTCATGAGCCCTTGATAGTTTATAAATTG